AGTTATAAGTTATATTTTAATTTATTTATTATCCATTTAATTAGTTTTAGATTAGTTGCAAGTAACTCTTGTTGTTGAAAAATTACATCAGTAAATTCTTAAATATGTGAATAAACTAATAAGAGGAAATAAAGTATCGTTTTTCTTTCGTTACATATATGTATGTATATTCCCTGAACATACCATGTACATTCACTGAACATACACATGTACATTCACTGAACATACCATGTACATTCCCAGAACATACCATGAACATTCAGTGTATTAACTTTGGCAGATTCCTGGAACATGCATGGAATGTTCATAATGTAACTCATGTATGTCCCAGGAATATGCATGTACATCACATGAATGTTCCAGGTATATTCTGGGAATATCATTTTGCTATGTGGGAAGCCCTGACCCTGTGGAATAGTGAATACTAGCAGAACAATTAAGGGACATTACGTACCTCTAAAATTGACTCAGAATTCCAGTGGCAATTGTTATTGTATCGCATCCACAGCCTGAAGGTTTCGTTATCGTTGTCGCCAATGAGCTCTCGAATGCACTTAACAACAGTTGCGCATTCATTGAGCTGGATTAGCTGGTCCGGGTGCTTAGCATTAAAGTCGACTACTTCCTTAAATAGAGTTTTTAGCAATTCTGCTTGTTGGTCTCGTAGATTTCCCCCTGCTACTAGTTCAACCGACTTCTCTAAAATGTGTTTTTTTATGACTGGTCGATCGAAGTGGCGCCACACCGTCTTGGCATCACTGATAAAGAGCGCGAGGTCTTTTTCTATGGGTAGCTTCCTGTTATACAGATAGATCAGATGTCGGGAGAGTAACTGACTCGGTGGGGAATCGCCGTTGGCGCGAGCCAACTGAACGAGTTCTTTCACAGCATCCCAGAAACCATCGGTAGTTAAATCGTCGTCAATCGTTCGACCGATTTTGTGCAGCAGCTGTTGCCTGATGCAGGTGTCTTCATTGCGATGACGAATGCTAATATACCTTAGCACGCTTTCGTAGCAATGATAATCTTTATTTGCATGGCACATTTCAATCAAGTAGGCCAGCAAATCTCGTCTGGTGCTTTTGTCAGCAGTTACTTCAATCTTCTCCTTTATCAGCCGAAAACCTTCCCTGCTTTCAAAATGAATGATAAAGGCGAAATCATTGGTTTTCTCAAACAGTAGTTTGGCCCAAGTTCGCCGAACATCTTGGGGAAAAACTGCGGCAAAAGATTCCTGGAACAAGGCCAGATGATTTAGAATGTCGTCATTGTGAGTCTTCTGGAACAACATTGACAATATTGACATTCGCTTCTTCTGTGGAAATTTTTTGAGAAATCTCAGCAACTTTGTATTCAATGTAATATTCAGTTTTTCGGGCAGGTATTTGTGCAAATGCTGCTCTTGTACTTGTCTGGCCACAACACTGTTGTTCAGTCTGGCCAAGACAGTTTTCTCATTTTTCAGTGCCTCATCCTTGTTGAGTCGCAGCAACGATTTGGTAGTTTGTCGCCCCACTTTCACATGATCAATATGTTGCATTCCGAATTCGAAATACAATTGAGGGCGCTTGGCGGCTACGTAAGACAGAAAGCTGTAGTTGTCGAAGTCGTGCCCAAAGTGCTTCTTGTAGCTCTCCATGTAGCTCTTTACTAAATCACTATTTTTAGCTAAAAGTCGTCTAAGTTGCTCGACGGTTAAAGTGATTTCGTTGTCTCGTAAAACTTGCTGGATTTTGGGAGCAGAGCAGCTAAAGAGAAACTGTTTTGCAATGAATAGTCCATATCTGAAAGGTTTTACTTGAATAACTTCAGTCGCCTCTAAACTGCCGTTTTACCAGATGAACATTGCCCTTTACCTTTGAAGTAAACAATCGAAAACTTCGTCCATCCTGGCCTCACTAAGGCTCAACGCGAGTTTTTTCAGCAACTTCATTTTTATGGGGTATGACAGGGTCGGTAAGAAATCATTAACAATCTCGCTTGCGCTCATCGCCTTAAATGCTTCCTCAAAAAACCATTTCTCTTTTAATATCTTGCTAACTAGAACCACGTTGCCTAAAATGTGAGATAAGAAATTAGAAAGCATGTATATTTACTATATATACTATTCAAACTTTTACTAACGAGTGTTTAGTTAACTATTATCTCACCGTCTTGTAAAATTTTGACCAGTGCCTTCACTTGTTTCGCCCGGATTAAAATATCTACATAGAAAATTCTCTGCAGGTGGTTTTTTGGCTGAATATCAGGAAGCTGCTGGACGAGAACTAGAGGATCTGTGCAGTGTAACAATTTGTAGAAACTCGTTTTCACCTCTTTGTAATGCACACCATTCAAATTCAAAAATTGAGTTTTGAAATCCATGGTAATTTCCACTAGCTCCAGAAACCTAAAATGTTTTCCTTTCAGTGAGCCTTTGAACATTTCAAGCCACCATTAATAGGTGTATCATTGTCTTTATCACTATTTCATGTTTATAATGAGCTGTACATTTTCGCAATAGTCCAAATCCCGTACCTTGCCAAACAAATTCGGACCAAAAGATGGATGAAAACCAATATATTATCTGCAATTTTTAATAACCTACAAATATTTATAAATATTTATATTCGTACTTCCCTTTCAATAAGATATTTCCATTAATAACAAACATGCAAAATGGGGTGATGGTGTACCTACTGTGCCCAGATTTTGTAACTTTTCAGTTTTAGTAGGATAATGACAAATACCTAACTAAAATTGCCTTAAAACCTGGCTAACTAAGAAGTGACTAACTGATAATAAAAAGTAGGTGCAGCAGAGACAAGTACTTGTGTGGGTGTAGTTGATCATACTCATAGAACAAGGCTTATATCATACTCACTCGGTAAGTCGCACAAATTCGTCCCAAAATGATGATAGTTGAGTTTGATTTAAACCTTTTTACTGATTTTATTCTGCTTTTAGAATTATTTGTATGTAAAAAATCCTACACATTTGTTGATGTTGATGTTAATTGTTATTAAAAACTGAGCAATTCGTAAAAAAACTATGTTAGAAAGACGGTGACAATGTTTTTCAAGGTCATTTTTAACTTAGTGTCTGTGTAATCACTCTTCTCGAGCAGCTTCTCGTATTCGCTTAATTAACTCCTGCTCAATTTGTACCGGCGTTCAGTAAGCCATTAGTTTAATGTGTCCTTGTGCTCTGTTTATCTTACATACGTGGTAGAAATGTGGCCCTTCCTCGGGATTTATTTGGTGCCTGAGAAAGTGTCAGTTGTTATGCAATGCTCTGAGCAATTATGCCCAATACTTGTATATAATTGTATCATGAATACAAGGTAGGATATTACTCAGTCGAAAACTCGATTTTCGTGCGCACATGATGTCACTGGTTAGCACTGGTAAAGCTGATCCCATTTAAAATGCTTGTAACATAGACAGATTTTCATTGAATTTGAAACGCAATAGTTCAAAAGTGGAAAGTTATATGAGGATATGGTTTGCAGTGTTGTATAGCTCAATGCTCTCAAAATGGCATTTGGGATCTGATTTGGGCTTATTGCGAAGAAAAATACCCTAAAAAAGTATTAACAAAATCTCTGATTTTCAGTGTTTTAGCTTGCTGTGTTGCCACAGTGTCATTCATGAAATCGGGTAGTGCCGAACGAAGCAATGAATTCATTGTATTATGGGGCAAATGCGTTTGGGCGTGTTTGGGAATTTTGTAGACAAACAACTGAACATTTTGCGCTTGGTAGTTGGAAAGTGTACTGTAGATTGTTTGCTACTTTTAAGTATCGGTTCAGAAATATAAAAAATGTGGTGTACAGTTTACGGTTGCATTAGTAATACGAGAGTTAAATCTCCGAAATAGTTTCATAGATTTCCAAAAGACAGTATTTTAAGCAAGCTATGAGAATGCTTGTTATCGTGCAGACACAATTAATGTTGCCTCCGCCAGAATATGCTCTCAGCATTTGAAAAATGAGGATTATGAGAGGAATTTGCACTTCGAAGTTTTGGAGTACTTGCCAAAAACAAACTTTATTGCACATCTGGCAACTGTGCTAGCCTACAAAACAAATAAATTTATGTTGCTTTTCATTTTCAAGTTTAAAACCTGCTGTAAAGCATTTTGTAATTATAACAAAGATTTATAGAAAAATAATTAAATGTGACAAAGACTAAATAAGCTATATTTAATCACATTTAGCAGACAGGAAAAAATCACGCTTAATAACTTCTAGAAGATATTATCTTAGTTTCATTAGTTGTAGTGCATTTTTAGTTTCCTTAAAAAATCACTAAACCAGGCTAACATAAACAAACTCAACATTTACCGAATGGAAAACAACGCAAAAATACGTGGCAACACCGCCATCTGACTATCGACGCGCCAGATAACCACAATCACTTAGCGATGTTTTTCAAACTTTTGCGAAAAACACAATTATTATGCATCTTAGCGCCAATTTTGCATGTGGATTTATGAATTGTTGA